TTCATTATTTTAGAAGTTATTTAAATTTTTGTAAAACATTGAAAATGACGATTTTTAAAAAATATCTGAATAAAATATTGGCCAAATAACTTCTAAAAGATCTTGTTCTTTTCGAAATTTTATCATCTTTCAAAAAATAAAAAGAAAAAATGTTAGTTCCCATACATTTTGTGTTTTAAAATGTTTTTCACTCACCTGAAAATGAGTGGTCTCTCAATTTGGACCGGTAGTGTATACTTAAAATAAGTTTCAATTTGTTGCCTATAGAGAGCGTCGAAGTTGGTCTCGTTTCTATGCAGGGAAAATCGGTGGGCAATATTCTGGTTAGACCGTTTAATCAAAAACAAAAATTAAAAGTTTTTCTGAATCTGTGATAGATTTAGCTTTCGAGTACGTAGGATATTTTAATTAAAATATAAAATTCGCTACGTACTCGAAAGCATTAGAGAAAAACGCATTTAAACTTATGTAATGTGAAAACATGAAAAATGAAACCACTGTTAATCTACGATGCCAGCACCATATAATTAACTTTCTAGATTAATATTTCCATCCTTTAGAGCAATTTAAAGCTGTCTTCAGTATTCTTGAGCTGCTACGATAAAAGAAAAAATAGCCAATACCGCTAAAAATAACTCGAAGCGCTCTTGGAAACCTTTTACAGATATCGATTTTTTCCACATAAAGTAACTTCGAAATTACTTCTCATGATATAATTTCTATTCTACACCTCATAAACTATCATTTAAGCAAAAAAAAATGAAATCAATTTTTTTTCGGGTCAAAGGTGTCACCTCCTTAAGAAATTCGTTTTGTCGACTCCCGCACAAAATTGATAATTTCTTTTACCATTCCAATGAATTTTCGACACTCCAAATTTGCTTCTATTGCATGTTGGACACAGATGTTAACTCTGTCCCCAGTGCAATGCACGAACAATGCTCATGACTCGTCATTGCGTATTCATTGCTTTAAACATGAAATTTGTTCCGAAACATTTGAGGCTCCACCATAACATTGTCCCCTTAGGTTTTTAAAATTTTAATCAAACTGATTAAAGACACTCTTAACAAGATCAAATAATAATAAATAGTGAAAATTAACGATCACTCCGAGTCAAGGAAAATAAAAATAAAAGAAATTCAATTCTTTTTACGTTAGATACTCTCCTCACAGATGGACACCTGTTCCATTCTGGAAATATCCGATGTTTCGTCCAACACTAATAAAGAAATGAGACGCATGCTTATTCCCGAAATCTTTTTTGACCAAATAGTTATTTGATATAAAACTACTTAACATAAAATTCATATAATATGCACATTATTCGACATAAATTTCATTGCACACAAAAACCATTTAACATAAATATCATTTATCATAGAATTCATTAAACAGAAATATTATGTTACATAAAACTCAGATAACTTAATTCTCTTTGACATAAAAGATATGTAACATAAATTTCTATTGACATACAAATCATTTAACATAAATTTCTTTTGACATAAAACTCATTTAACGTAAATTTTATTTGTTATAAAATTCATTTGACATCAATTTCATTTGGCATAAATGTCATTTAACGTAATTCTCATTTGACATAAATATCATTAGACATAAAATTAGCTTGACATCAATTTCATTTGACGTGAATATTATTTAACATAATTATTATTTAATGTAAAATTAAATTTATATAAATTTCATTTAGCATAAATGCCATTTAACATAATTCTCATTTGACATAAAATTTACTTGACATAAATTTCATTTGGTATAAATCCCATTTAACATAATTTTTATTTGACATAAAAGACATTACACACAATTCTCATTTGTCATAAAAGTCATTCAACAAAATTCTCATTTGACATAAAAATCATTTTACACAAATTCCATTTTACATAAAAATATCGGCGCCAATTTTAAAAGTAACCAATTAGATATTATTGTCACGTCATCGCGACGTATTTATATTACATCTAAAACATTTTCGTAAAAGTCTAAATACCGGAATCCTTTGTTCATATGGAATCTAAACCATATTGATCAAAGTGCGCGCCCGCATCAAGATTAGCGGATGTGATTAGCATAATGATCGTATACGATCGTAAAATTTTTACTACCCTTTCTGTGACGTCAATTCCCTTCGCAAGGGAATAGTATAAAAGGAGCCAAAATCGCCAGTCCAGAAATCGACACCAAGTTAAGAAGTCATCCAGAACTCGCCAAGTACAAGAAACCTCTTCGAGTAACAAGTCAAAGTCCTACGAGTATATTATACATATCATTGTTCCTGCCTATTTTAATATTTGTGGAAACATCGACAACGTGCCTTTCGCTGTGCCTTATTACGATTCGGATCGTAATTAATTATACCTCGAGGGGCTTCAACGACTGGACTCCGGACCACAGGTTGGTTGGCCCGAAAACACTACGCTGAGGTTCCCTTCACTTTTGTCGTCAACAAATCTATTTTTCCTGGGTCATCGATCCCAGGTTAAAAATAAGGTATAACATTGTAACCACTCACAAATACTCTCCTCTCATATAGTTCCCTCGCGAATTGTAATTTTGTTCCAGTAACGCACCTGGATCTATTCTTTCTCTCCATTCATTTGACTGAAAATTTCAAAATAAACGAACAAGTATAATTTAATCGTATAGTTTCTTCTTTTCTAAAAACCTGTCCCTTAAGATCAGAGTTCGACTCTGTGAATAAATCAGGTATTGAATCACCGATGCCGGACAATTAAATAAGTAATTATTTGGAATATGTTTTGTCATTAAGACGTAACATTATCAACAACATTGTGATTCTCCAATTTTGAAATTCGCGCCTATATTTCTATGTCAAATGATCTTTATGTAAAATGAAATCTATGACATCTGAATTGAATTCTGAATCAAATGAAATTGATATCAAGTGAACTTTATGTCAAATGAAAATTATGTTAAATGGGATTTATACTAAATTAAATTTATGTCAAGTATATCTTATGTCAAATGAGAATTATGCTAAATAGAATTTATGCTAAATGAAATTTATAAAAATTTAATTTTACGTTAAATAATAATTATGTTAAATGATATTCACGTCAAATGAAATTTATGTCAAGCTAATTTCATGTCTAATGCTATTTATGTCAAATGAGAATTACGTTAAATGACATTTATGCCAAATGAAATTGATGTCAAATGTATTTTATAACAAATGAAATTTACGTTAAATGAGTTTTATGTCAAAAGAAATTTATGTTAAATGATTTTTATGCCAATAGAAATTTATCCCAGGTTAAAATCCCCGTACAGGATCCTTAAAGGATCCTCTCGGGATCCTGTGCAGGTCCTGTGCAGGATCCCGACCGGATCCTGTGCAGGAAATTGGGACAAGGTTCCTGTGCAGGTTCCGATGCAGGAACCCTAGCTATCAAAGGTTTCTGTAAAGGTTCCTGTACAGGAACACTTGCAGGATCATGTACAGGAAACTTTGTAAAGGTTCCTGTGCAGGAACCTTTACAGTTTTGTAAACTGCAGGTACTTAAGTATAAAGGATCCTGTAAGGAACCCGTAAAGGATCCTACACAGTTTCTTCAATTAATTTATTTATATTTTTAACTCCTGCGCAGTAGTTTTCTATGAGTTTCTCGAATGCGCAATACATTTTTCTGTCCAACATTGTTATACGAGCCTAACATATTGAAATATGAAGTCTATGTATGTCAAATGTTGCTTAACATATAAAAATTAAAAAAATTAAAAAGTTTCCTGTACATGATCCTGCAAGTGTTCCTGTACAGGAACTTTTACAGGAACCTTTGATAGCTAAGGTTCCTGCATCGGAACCTGCACAGGAACCCTGTTCCAATTTCCTGCACGGGATCCGGTCGGGATCCTGTACAGGACGTGTACGGGTTCCGGTCGGGATCCTGCACAGGACCTGCACAGGATCCCGGGAGGATCCTTTAAGGATCCTGTACAGGGATTTTAACCTGGGATATTACATAATTTTTATGTCAAATGGGAATTAAGTTATCTGAGTTTTATGTAACATATTATTTCTGTTTAATGAATTCTAGGACAAATTATATTTATGGCCTAAAGCTTTTAGAGTACTGAAAACTTTTTTAATGCAATGCGATTATTTATTATTTGTTGTTTCACTGGTACTAAAATAATACCTCGTAGATTGATATTTATTAAATATAGCAATGATATATTTACGGTTATCCACTTTTTATTAATTTTCATTAATCTTTCCAATAACTTTAGGTTGTTTAAAACTTGCAACAACACTGTTCGCACCGGTGGCACTGTCACTTTGAGGGGTTATGGAGTTTTTCAGGTTGGTCTTATCAGAATAATCTAAATCACTTTTCTGACTACAAATGGCGTCAACATTCTCATCATTTTTTCTTTTCCGCTTTACAATCTTTATTTCTTTTTATGCTTTGATAATATTATTGCTAGCATTATAGACGGTAGACAGTCAGTAAAACAAAGATGTACACTTTGAGTGCTTTAAAGGCTGTTTTGGCACTCTCCCAGGGTTAACTCCGAGTTAAATATTATCCAATCATCAAAAACATTCTGTTGGTCAGCCAATCACCATTAACCCAGAGTTAACTCGGGGCGAGTGCCGAAAACAGCCAAAGTAACACTTTCAACATCGTCAAATTAAGGCCACGAACGAAGTAATATACGAAGTAATAAGTAAGGGTAGGGTCATTGTTCTGCAATATGCGTAGCGCATTGAAGTGGAATAAAGGTGCGTTCATTGGACAAAAGTTGTGGCAACCACAGCCACAAAACAAGAGTGGATTCCGATTCCTCACTAGAGGTTCAGGCTGCTTCCGAATTGAGTCAGTCACAATTGCCAAGTATATACGAAGGTTGTGTAGTGACGCGTCAGTCGAGGTTTTCTACGTAAATTACTAAAATTTAATAAAATACTAACAGGCAGAAAATTTTAAGAAAGCAATTTATAATATACATACCAGCAGTATCACATAATGCTAATGAAAGAATGAAAAGTCCTATAAATATTAGCTTTTCAGTAGAACTGATCATCTCCCCGTTACTGCAAACTCGGTGCATCTTCACCACATTCAGTTGAATTTGAAACAGCTACAATTTCTAAAACACAAAACATACTCTAATATGGAATCGACATTAAGAATCCTGTTAAAAAATTCACGTATAATTGAATCGTGAATTTCGGAAAGGGCTCAAATCGATTTTTTTAAATTTTACAGGAGACACGAAAAACTTAAAAGTCAAAGGAAAACACACTTTAATTTACTTTTCTCTGTTAAAAGTACTTTAGATGAAATTTTCTTTTTAAGCAGAAAACGTCAAATGGATACAACGTACAAATGGATATGTAATAATGCAAAAATGTGAAATCCGCCAAAAATCCGAGTTGAGCCTTTTTCGAAATTCACGATTCAATTACACGTGTAATTTTTACTTTAAATTTATAAATCATTTTTTTTAAATTCACCTGCAGTTAAATATATTACACGTGTATACAATTTGCTATATGTAGGAAAACTTGTTCTTTAGTCATTCTTAAGGAGGAAAACTCGTGTAAACGCACGTTTTTTCAAAAAAATTTTACACAAAAATGGTATAAAGTTTATTGAATTTAAGTAAAGCATATCTTAAAGTATATAATATAATATATATTTTGCATATTTCAAAAACCTTAAGGGATTACACCACTTTGAAATTTTCAAAAAATTGAAAAAAAATTTTTTTTTGCTTAAAATACTCTTTATGGACACCAAAATGGTATGTCATTAGTTATATACCGATATCTCAAGTAAAAAGACAATTTTCGAACTGTTCAAGCAGGGTCGCGCGCTAACGTTTACATTGTAATGAAAACTTAAAACTCGTTTTTCTCAAAACTGTATTTTAAAAATCGGTGGACACTCTAGCTGCCACAAATTTCAATCGATCCTCTTAGTTCTTTTTTTATTTTGTATGTGATATAATTATCTAGCGAAATACGTACGGATTTTTCAAAATATTAATATTTAAATTTTCTAGACAACTTTAAATAATGAAATTTATGCAAAAATACGGACTTTTTCTTCAAATCGATGCCATTTTGCAAAAAATAATTTTTTTTTAAATGAATACGTATTTCGCTAGATTTTGAGCTACAGAAACTAAAGCATCTTTACTTTTTGGTCTAGCTTAATTCTGGATCAAGTTATAGTGTCCACCGTATGTCGATACATTTCACAGGCACACAAAAAAAAAAGTGTCGTGGCCGAGACACTACAGTAGTATATTCCCATGTATTTTTGGCCGCTAAATCCGAATCTGAAGTCCGAATGCTCAAATTGGTTCTTTTTTTGAGTTATACTCAAAAAACGACTCAAAACACGAATTTGAACCAAAAAAATTAAAAAATTTTTTTGTGACATGACAATAGCATATTTCCATGTATTTTTTCCCGCTGAATCCGGATTCGAAGTCAGAATTGACAGATGTGCTCAAAATTTTGAGCTAAACTCAAAAAACGACTCAAAAAACCGAATTAAAATGACGAAAATGAAAAACTTTTTCTGTGACACTGCAAAAGTATATTCCTATGTATTTTTTCATGCTGAATCCGAATTCGAAGTCAAAATTGACAGATTTGCTCAAAATTTTGAGATAAACTCAAAAAACCACTCAAAAAAAGACTCAAAAATCCGAATTAAGATGAAAAAATTTTTTATGACACTACACTACTATATTCCCATGTACTTTTTCCCGCTGAATCCGTATTCGCAGTCAGAATTGACAGATTTGTTCAAAATTTTGAGATAAGCTCAAAGAACTGATAAAAAAAGCGATTTAAAATAAAGAAATGGCAATTTTTTGCTATGACACTACATTACAGTATTTCCATATATTTTTACACTCGGATCTCGCATTTGAAGTCAGAATTATTCTAATGGCTCAAAATTTTGAGACACACAAGAAAATCTGTTAAGTTACAAAAATTAAAGTCAAGAAACTCTACTTTTCTTGCTAGTACACTACATTAGTATATTCACATGTTTTTACATCTGCTTCCAAATTCAAAGTTATAATTATTAAATTGGCTCAAAATTTTAAATTAAATCCAAAAATGCTCAAAATTTAATTTAATGCAAAAGAGTTCATTTTTCTGGTATTCGGTAGTGTATTCTCATGAATTTTATATACGCTGAATACAAATTCGAAGTTAGAATTATCAGAATGACATAAAATTTTTTAGAACTCAAACCCTGGTTACAGGTACAAGCATGTATGTTTTTGAGCACTTTTAATGAAATCCAAAATTTTGAGCCACTTTGAAAATTCTGACTTTGGAATCACAGTGAAAAAATACATGGGAATACACTAGTGTAGTGTCATAGCAAAAAATTTCCTTTATTCATATTAAATGGCATTTTTATCAGTTTTTTGAGTTCATCTCAAAATTTTGAGCAAATCAGTCATAAATCTGTCAATTCTGACTTTAAATGCGAGATCCGATATGGAAATACTGTAATGTAGTGTCATAGCAAAAAATTTCCATTTCTTTATTTTAAATCGCTTTTTTTATCAGTTCTTTGAGCTTATCTCAAAATATTGAGCAAATCTGTCAATTCTGACTGCAAATTCGGATTCAGCGGGAAAAAGTACATGGGAATATAGTAGTGTAGTGTCATAAAAAATTTTTTCATCTTAATTCGGTTTTTTTAGTCTTTTTTTGAGTGGTTTTTTAAGTTTATCTTAAAATTTTGAGCAAATCTGTCAATTTTGACTTCGAATTCGGATTCAGCATGCAAAAATACATAGGAATATACTTTTGCAATGTCACAGAAAAAATTTTTCATTTTCGTCATTTTAATTCGGTTTTTTGAGTCGTTTTCTGAGTTTAGCTCATAATTTTGAGCACATCTGTCAATTCTGACTTCGAATCCGGATTCAGCGGGAAAAAATACATGGAAATATGCTATTGTCATGTCACAAAAAAATTTTTTAATTTTTTTGGTTCAAATTCGTGTTTTGAGTCGTTTTTTGAGTATAACTCAAAAAAAAGAACCAATTTGAGCATTCGGACTTCAGATTCGGATTCAGCGGCCAAAAATACATGGGAATATACTACTGTAGTGTCTCGGCCACGACACTTTTTTTTTTTGTGTGCCTGTGTTTTTAAAGCACTTTAACATATCATCTGTCAAACCGACAATTTAAAAAAAAAGAAATTTATATATATATTTTTGTAGTTCAAGAGTAGTACAATACCCTACTGTAATTTAATGTTCCTAAAAAAATTCTATTTTTGAATAAAATTTTTTGAAAAAGCTTATGTTTTGAACAGGTCAAAGTGGTTAATATTAAAATTCTATTTGGAATCCCATTGGAAAGACTGATAATTATTTTAGAAAAGACGTAAATAGAATTACTGATGTTTGAAAATATTATATTAAATTTTTGCAGAAAAACTGAATAAATATTATCCTAAAGATTCATATAATTCTTATATTATTTGAAATGTACACGGAAAAAATTAATTTAGTACATTTTACGAAACTAATTTTGGAATAGCGGATACGGAGAGGAGTTTAGTATAAGATAAAACAGAATCAATAGTAATATATGATGACTGCGTTTCTCGAAAACTCAAAAAAAATTCTATGGAATTCACAAATGATCGGTTGGACGTTCTAATTCAAGAGTTTTGTAAAATGTTTAGCCTGAAGCGCATGCGCCACGGAAAAAAATATTCACGGAGAAAAAAACGAATAAAGCAGAAAAAAGAATTTCTTAATGTACCAATGAGCTCTCAAGACCATTTTTTCTCGTCTTCTATAGGAGATAGATGATTGGTTCGACACATGTGACTGCACTCTACAACGCAATGGTTCGCTTGGATTGGCTTATTTTATTCTGACACTAACTTAACGGAAATACGCATACATATAAACGAATTCTGACGCAACGCACATACAATATAACTCGCACTTGTAGATGAAAGAATTGAGTTTCTTTATATACTAACTGAGGAGATTAAAACTGCGCTTGTGAGAAATGTCAATATACTGAATATTAATTTTTAAAAAAATAATTTTTTTAAAAGTTATACAAAATATTTTATGGTTTTTAAAATAACATTTTTTGATTATAATTAGTTATAAAATCTCTATAAAATTTTTCAATTTTTAGAAAGTAATTTTATTCTTAATTTTAAATTATAAATAAATTGACAAAAAATTTTCAAAATTAAATTCAAACTCAAAAAATGTTTATATTAAATTGTCTAAAATTTGAAGTAATAACAGTTAAAACTTGAGAAATTAATATATATATTGTCATCGGTAAATATTATGATAAACTATAAAATTTATTGGACTGTAAATTAAAAGAAATTAATAATAATTAAAAGTTTGGATTACAAAAGCACATAAAAAATGTTACGAATTTGGAACAATGAAATGTGAAATACGTAAAAGAAAACAATTATCCAAATGTTACCGGCAGGTAAAGCAGTTCTCTTTTTCCTTCCACATATTATATCTATATACAGCAGACAAGTTAATACCTACGCGACGAGACAAGCTTCAACATATCTATTTATAACGCGACTTTTGGTACACCCCGTATAGAATTTTACGAAACTTTGTGTTCGAGAATTCACGATAGACAGCGAAGTGGAAACTCAAACCACGCGTTTTTAGATTGCACGAAACATTTTTACCATTTTCTGATAAAATGTTCACCAGAAAATACGAAACATTTCTACATTCAAGCTTGTTTTATAAATTACAACACTGGTTGCAGTTTCTCGACAATTGTTCTGCTTAAAATAGTGAAAGTTTCTGGGTTTTTGAAAAACTTCGTCTAGGAATCTTAAATATCCGCTAGTGCGAAATTAGTTTCGTAAAATCTGCTGAACTTATTTTTTCCGTGTAGCTTTTTATATTAAAAAAGTTTATACTAAAAATTCGGAATAAGGAGAAAAGGAATGAGAGAAAAGGAATAAAGAAAAAAAAGTCGACAAATTACGGGCATTTTCGTTAAATCTCGTAACAGGAGTGCTGGGAGAGGAGAAGTGACTGGAAACACATATACACACGCAGATATACATTGTTGTGAACACGCAGGTT